AGAAAAAAAGAGGGGGGGGGGGGGGGGGGGGCTGGTGGCAAGCTACCTATCCACAGCTCCTCCATCCCTGTAGCTGCAACCCAGTCCTCCCATTCACGAGTCCAAATCAAGCCAAAAAGTAAGCCAAAAGAACAAAACATCTGTTCCACAAAAGAAATGTTTCCCTCTTTGTAAATGTATCCTGCAGGCCTTACCTGTCTAGGAGACCTCCTCTCCCAGTTTCCCTGGGTAACTTACTTGCCTGCCTACCTGCCTCCACACCAATGCACACATCACACTCCTCTCCTCCTGCCCTCCTAGTATAGCATTGTGCTAGGTTTAAATCCCCTAATCTAGTGCTTCTCAACCTTTTTTGTACCAAGACCTATTTGTAAACATTGATGGTCAGTCACGACTCAGTGCCCCTCGCTCCTGCCCTGCTGCCCCCCACTCCCGGGCCCCAGCCCCTCAATGTGTGGGTGGGTATGTGGGGCAGGGGGGGCCCAAGCAACCCCTTGCAAGCTGAAATTCTGCCAGCCTGCAAGGGAAAAGCCATGATTTCCCATGTATTTTTCCTTTGAAGGAGAATCCATTTTTAAAGTTTGTTTGCAACCCTTTCGTATATTCTTGCGACCCATTTTTGGGGCACAACCCACAGGTTGAGAAATGTTGCCCCAATCCAGCCTACTTCTGGTCACCTGACCAGACCTGTTGCCCCACTCTCTCTTCCCCCTCCTCCCCCCCACATGGCCAGGTGGAGTCAGTCACTCATTAACCCACTGCCTTCATTAGTACCACGCTCAGTCCACCTGCCCTCTCTGACCTCACCAGTAACAGAGCCAGGGGTTACACATTTTTTTAAAAGAATTTGGCAGTACCTAGAACATACAATGCATTTGGCCTTTAAAATGCTATATACCTAAGCAGGAAAAAATACAGTCTTTCAAATCACCTCCAAGTGCCATGTTGTTTTTTTATAAACTGTTAAAAGTAACATGGCAATAGAGTCCTTGGCTGCTCTAGCAAAAGCTAAATTTACCAGTATTCTATGCATTACATACTCGTTAAAGAGCAGAGAGTACTGTGAACAATGATGGAAGCTTTTCATTATTGCACTCTCCCAACCAGTACCAGCTGTCCCTGTCAAGGTCATTGAAGTCTAACAGACATTTCAACAAGGATATTTTAAAAGATCATCTCAGCCAATAGAATAATAAATAGCAGCTTGTGACGCTGCAATTTTGTAAAAATCTAAACATTCTCCTATAATTTCATATACACTAAGCACTAGTTGCTCACATCCAGTGATTGAAGATGATTCCTAGAGCATCAATGATGTCCAAGTTAACTTTATATTCCTTCAATATTTAGGCTGTTGTGCATCAGCTTGGCTCCACCACACCTTAGAGCAGCTTCAAGGCTGCTCCAAATAATACTTGCATCATCCAAGAGTCATTAAATAAGTAAAGAATTTCTGGAGCACCCAATGCTCTAACCATTCTCTTCCTACTCCATTGTCTCCATATAGCCCCTGACCTGCTACTGAAGGCCAATGTTGCACCAGGATAGGATTCTGTGATAGTGGAATCCTCAGCTTTCCAGTTAAGGCAGATTTAAATCGTGGTTTTCAGAGTAATACAAAGAGTAGTTAAGTTTGACCCTGTGCCCAACCCTAAAATTTGTTATTTAATATCAGGCTAAAAAAAACAAACAATACACACACACCCTTAATTTATAAAGGTCAGAATTTTACAAGGTCAGATCAAAGCCTACTTAGAAATAAGTGTGCATATTTCAGCTGTAACCAATACAGAGTAGAAACCGAGGAAGGTCATTTGCTCACAATTCTTGGGGAACCACAATGGGAGGAATTATGCAAGAAGTCACACTGAGTGAAGGTACTGAAATGTCCCTCCATGTGACAAGCTGACACCAGTGAGCTAATTTTCTTGGTGACCTTATCTAAATTAGTCAGAGAATATCCACTGTGATTTATGCCTAGTTGCAATTAAACCATTTGATGCCTTCTAATTAAGTCTCTGAAGATTAATTCCTATCCAAGTTTTTTTTTGGTTTCTTCTTAAGAGATAAAAATGTGAAATGAATTTAACCATCCAAGGAGAGGGGGCAATTGTATCACTGCATGCACACAAAATTGCCCTGAATATGACTAAGCTTTACCTCTCAACTGTCTTCATCTTGCATCCCTTCCAGATAACTTAGGTGCTCTCCCTTCTTATTCTAAGGTATTTACATCAACATACAAAATAATATTAGTTAAAAAAAATTGCTGTTTATGTTTAAGAAATTAATCCTTGCTGAAGTTGCTTTTCCTACACTGTTAAATTTTCTAGTATGAGTCCAACTCTTCCAGATACCTGTCCTACATTGTGCTCTGGATGGGGACCCTGACAGTGTGAGCAGTGTGATTACAACTCTAATAAGAGAAGAAACAGGCATTTGAGTTTCAGATTGCTCCAGTTCATATCAGTCTGTTTGCTCCAATGTGCATCAGTACATTTGGCTCCTTCTTAAAAATAAAAAGTATACTACAAAACAAAACACAAACTTTGAATGAAAACAAGACTGTTGAACTAAGTGTTCCAACTAGGTAAAATGTGATAGAGGGAATGAGATAGCTGGCCTTTTAACGTGCATTTTTTCCAGCCTTGAAATCCTTTTGAGTCATATTGCTCCACTGCAATGACAGACATACAACACTTTCACATCCCAAGATTTTGCCGGTGTTGTAATTCCTAGCATCACTAATGATTTTTTTTGTGAACCAAGAACCTTTTCCAAGGGGTATTCTACGACGTACTAGGCATGTCCCCATGAGTGCGTACGTGCATTGTCCTGGGGACAAGTAGCAGCAGCACATATTTGCCACTGCTAGTTGTCCCTGGGCACACGCCTGCACATGTGCTGACTCAGGACAAATGGCCCCGGCAGCCTTACCTGCAGCACCAGCAATCTAGCCACTTGGAGCCTGGCCAGCAGCTGGAGCGTGGCTCTGCCCAGCCAGGCTGCGGTTTCTGGTGGCACACACTGCAGACGTGTGCTGTGCCACTTTCCCCCCACCCCTCTTTGTTTTTGTTTTTTTAGATACTGGGATTTCCTGGAACAGATTCACGTGCACCACATGCATTTTGCGATGCCTCAAAAGGCTTTGAGGCACCGCAAACCACACATTCCCATTCATGGGAACACAGCATTGCTTTGTTGAATGCCCTCCAGAACCTGGTTAGCAGAGATGAAATTCTGCTTAATTCCATGTTTCTTTTCAGTTCACCTTTAAAGTTTCCTGGGCCTGCATTCCATGGCAATATTGCCCTCTTTAAATCCCTGCCCCCTGACACTACTGGTTTGAGAAGAACATTTTAAATTTGTATTCCATAATAGTTTTTCATTGCTTGAGTTATGCATTCTATAACAATACTGTGTCACATTTATTAAGCTCATGCTTCCTCCCTGCAGGCGAGTACAGCTATCTGGGGACTACACTTCGTCAGGTAGATATAGAGCCAATGCCCTCTCTCACAGATGTCAGACAGCTAATAGCACTGTATGGAATACTGCCATTAGGTAAGAGCACAGCAAAATTACTGGAGGGCAGAATACAATGGTTTGCTTCCTGTCAGAAACATATATTTTTACTAGCTTTGACAGTGTTGATTAATTGTAATCTAAAGCATTTTGCAGTATAATTGTTTTTCAATTAAACATTTTGAGTGAAGACCATATCATTTTAATAGAGCATAAAAGAGCGTGCACATGTCATTTTCAGGTACTGCGTTTACTTGCCATCTCTGTTTGCATTTCAACAGTTTGGGAATGGCAGCACATAAAGGAAATCACTTGGGAAAGATAATAACTAAAACAAGCTCCAGTGATTAAAATTAATCAAGTTAAGGGAAAAGCTAAGGTTACAATTTACCTTTTACAAGCTGGCTAATATTACTTGGTACTAAACAATATGAGCATTTAAAGAATTAGTCTGAGTAGATTTCATATATTTGAAAGAGCACACTTCTAACTGCTCTTGTAGTTTTAAGTGCTGGCAACTATTAGTATTGAAAAAGATATTTGGGTGGGGTTTAAACATACGGTCTATACCAATATTTTATTGCAGCATTCCAACCTTGAGCAGTACAGGTTCCTAATGCAGCAAGAGGCTTTACATTTGGTATTTATTATTTTCACTTTGGGAAAAATTTCCAGTCAGATAAGAGGCAAATCCTCATTCACCCAGTTCAGTCCCACATAACATCATTCTTGGCCATTCATCGAGTTTGTAGTACAAGATGGCCAGATTGTCCCAGGCTCACATTCTGGTGTGCAAACCAAAGAGAAAGAAGGAACCTTCCTTTCCCTGTTCATGTTTTTCACAAAGACCAGGATCGATAATGGACCTTGTACTTCAACAGTTCTTTCAATATACATTCAGGAGCATTCTCAAAGCATTCTCTGGTTCTAGTCCCTTCCAAATATTAGTCGGTGCACCCAGGATAGCAGGTGGCTGACCCTACAACGCTGCTTCAAACCCAAGAATTTGGAGGAAGAATGACAGTTTTCCCTCAAAGGGCTTAGTCTTCAGCATTAGCACTCAACCTTGAAGAATCATGGTAACTAATATGTTAAGGGACTTTGCAGTGGAGAGTAAACCAGGACCTTCATGTTTAAGAGCATGTCAGTTGATCATGGGTAAACCTTACTGGAGCCAGAGGTTTAGCCACAACTAACTGACACCAAGTTAAACATGACTCTTGCCTGTCTGCACAGACTCCCATCTTATTTCACATATCAGTTAGATTGTATTAAATCATGACACTGGAGTAGCTAATTTTTTAAGTTAAATTAAGCCAAAGGTTCCTCCTACAGAGTTAAGAGGGTCCATATACTTTCTACTGTTTTTTTAAATTGGAGATAAACTGAGGAAAAGACCTTGAATTAGTAAAACAGATTATATTTGTGATGGCAGTCTGAATGCCTTTATGTAAAAGAAACTTATGCATATATAGCCCAAGGATAAAAAAGAATCACAGAAATTATTTTATCCTTGAATGATATTTTAAGGTTAATATTTTAGATAACTGCCCTCAGTACTAGTTAATTGTGTGTCTGTAGGTGAGAGTTTCTTTAAAATATTCACATGATGGCAGAGAAAACTTCAGCTCAAAAGGAATTAGGGTCCAGAGGAGGGCCACCCGCATGATCCAGGGACAACAGGGCAGACTCTACAGTGAGAGACTGCGGGACCTGAACCTATTCAGCCTCCACAAGAGAAGGCTAAGGGGGGACCTGGTGACTGTCTATAGACTCACTAGGGGGGACCAGAGGGGTTTGGGGGAGACGCTGTTTCCCCTAGCGCCCGCTGGCATAACAAGGAGAAATGGGCACAAGCTGTTGGAGAGGAGGTATAGATTGAACATCCGCAAAAACTACTTCACCGTTAGGGCGGCTAGGAGCTGGAACCAACTTCCAAGGGAAGTGGTGCTGGCCCCTACCCTGGGGGTCTTTAAGAAGAGGCTGGATGCCCACCTAGCTGGACTCGTTTGAGTCCCATTTCTCTTTTTGGGGTTTTTGTTGTTCTCCCGCCCTGGCGGGGGGTCGGGCTAGAAGATCTACTAGGTCCCTTCCGACCCTTAATCTATGAATCTATGAATCTATGAATTTGAGAAAATTGTCAGCAGCTGAAAGAAGTTACAATAGAAGTTGCATTAACTCTGGAGGTGTCTACTATTCTCATTATAATAAGCCTACTTATAACAATAGTAGATTGGTATGAGGTGACCAAATATATTCATAAAACTTTAGTGGTTAACAATCTTACTACACACTTCATGATGCTGGAAGTAAGGCTTATAATATCTTAAGTCAGCAGTTTTCAAACTTTTTGAGCTGGGCCCCCTTTGAGTTACAATTTTGTTCATGCCTCCTCCCCCCCTCCACCTCACCCCAGCCAAAAACAGACATGCAAAATGTGCTTTCATAAACTTAACAGACTAACACAACTTACATTATTTAATTAAATTGCCTATACATTTCAAATTCACAGATAATGTGCTTATCAATTAATGTGAAGGGCTTGCCTGCTTCCCTGCAGTTTACCTTGCCACTGCTGCTGCCCACTACCATCTGCCTGCCCTGTTCACACCGCCCCCTGCCCTGACATCTGTGCCTCTTGCAACCTCCCAACGTTCCTTCATGCCCCACCAGCGGTGCAGACCCCACAGTTTGAAAACCATTGCTTTAAGTCACTAGTTCACTGAAAAGTAGGCTTATTGCTTTCCTTTTAACATAATTTCTAAACTGTCACATCCTTTGCTGGTAAAGTCTAATGGCGGTGGGAAGGCAGAGTCAGTCTTGTTCCTGATGCCTGGAATAGAACTTTTGAAGTTTTCTAGAACTGACAATTAGGGCTGTGCAAAGTTTCAGGTGCTGATTCGATTCAGAGGAGATTTGGCCCAATTTGGTGGCAGAATCTCCGAATCCAAATCAAATCAGGAGACCGATTAAAAGGTCCAAATCACTTCAAAGCTCTCCGGATCAATTCAGAAAATATTCAGAGAGCTTTGGTGATTTGGGCAATCCCTGATTGCTGCAGCAGGGAGCTGGACCTGGACTCCATGCTGGAAAGTAGGGGATGGGAGAGGTGGGGCTGGAGGAGGGAGAGGGAACCATAGGGGAGACCCTTGCAAGGCCCCATCCCCTGCCTGCTCCCCCAATCCCCACCCATGGCTGCCCCACCCGGGCCCAGGTCTTTAAACAAAAATCCCCCACTCACTGGCTGCTGCCAGGCAGGGGGGCAATCCCTGCTTCCCCCCACTGCATGGGGGGCTCTGCCGCAAACCCCAACCCCTGCCCGCTGTCCCAGCCCCGCCATGGCTGCCACCCCCGCCCCAGCTCCCGACCCTTTAAAAAAAAAGTCCCCACTCACCAGCTACTGCAGTGGCCTTGGGGCTTGTGGCAGAGCCTCCCCCACATGGCATGGGGCAGTGGGGATTGCCTCCCACCTGGCAGGAGCCAGTGAGTAGGGGATTTTTTAATTTTCTTTTTAAAGGGCTGGGAGTTCGGGCTGGGCAAGGCAGCCATGGGGTGGGGCTGAGAGAGTAGGTGGGTGTCAGGGTGCTCATGAAAGAGCCCCCCAGGTGGCATAAGCAGTGGGGAGCAGCAGAGCTCGCCCCCCCCCCCACCCCAGCCTGGCAGCAGCCAGTGAGTGTGGGCTTTTTTTTTTCTTTTGTTTTTTTAAGCCATTGAGAGCGGGCGGGGGTGAGGCTGATTTGAAGTTTTGGTGGTGCTGGTGGCTGAATCTCTGAATCAGATTTGGCCAAATCAATTCAGGACAGTGATTTGAATCACCAAATTGAATCACTGTCTCCCAAATCGGCCAAATCCAAATCGGAAGTTAATACTACCCACTTCGCACAGACCTACTGACAATATCCCCACAGAGGGCTCTCACCTTTGGGACTTTTTCCCATACCCCAATAATCTGTTAGTCACCTAGTTTACAAGCCCTCTAGACATGATGCAGGTATTACTGTTTAAATGCAATGTTGAAATGGTAATTACTGTATAAGGATATAGACCCTTTTTGTTTAGCAAGTAAATGATGACCATTTTAATGGACCATATATTGGCATGACAGGCATTTGATACGTTTACTTTGACATTCACTGCCCAGTACACACATTGTATTATGATTGATAAAGTAATATCGAAATAAAACATTTCAATGGCTTGCTCCCTGACAGCACAAGTGCTACATCCTTCCTCCCCATTTTGACAGACAAGTCAGGATGACAAACACTACTGAGCATTTCCCAGCTCTTAGTCTCTCTTCTTTGATACCTCCTCCTTTGTCAGCATGAGAAAGGAATCAACCTGTACTGCAGCATCTTGTGCCATGTATGGTAATTGTCAATGAAAAAAGGCAGAAGAAAAAAAGAAATCCTGCTTCTGCATCTTGCAACACTTTTGTAGAGGAACATCTAGCATTTAATCCTACCTTCACTGAAGAACCCTCCATTCCCCCGGTAGAGCAAGACAGGAATGGAATAATGTCTGAAGGTGCAAGAGATAACAGCTACTCAGGAGGCCTGAGAGGGAAAGAATGATACACACTAGAGCAGAGACACTCCCCCAAAAAAGTGGATAAGGTGGCTACAGTTCTGGAAAACAAAAGTACCCTTTAACCATGAAGTTTGAAGGTACCACCCTTTCATGTCCACAAGCTCCTTTTAGTGAAGCTTGCTTCCTTTTCTCCCAAGAGGATATTTCCAGAGGATACAATACCACTAGAGTATCTACTCTCTGCAGTCACAGCCAGCCACAGAAAACATTTTCCTCTCACTTACCAGCTAAATTGCTTTTCTTTCTGTTGTTCTTTCAACACAACACAGATACCTACCTAATCTGACTTAGACAAGACTCACTGCTTGAGTCAGCAGGGCAAAGTGGGTGACCAGCTTTCTTCAGGTCAGGAGAAGTGAAGGATAGAGCCCTAGAAAATGGGAAATCTTAGAGATTGAGCATCATCCACCCTATCTGAGCAAGTAGGCAGAAGGAATATAGGATATAGATTATATACACTACCACCTCCATCAAAAAAAAGCAGAGGAAACAAACAGAAAACAAATCAACTAGTAAGCAGGGCTGTAAAATGCCTGTACTGCAAAGTGCAGTAGCCAGGTCATTGCCTAGCTTATTTCAAACAACTTACATTCTAAAAAACAAATTATCAGACTCTGCAGTTCTTACTAAACAGCATCAATATAATATAAAAGGAAGCTTCCCAAAGAAAAGTGTGACGGCAGAAAGGAAGAGAGAGAAAGTAACACTAAAGATTTTAAATTATACTGACAAATGCCTGTCAGGAAAATATTCCAATTAGTTTGTTTTCATAAAGCACAAGGAGAACTGGAGAGTGTCATTTTGGTGGGTTTGAAGGATTCTGCTTTTTTAACATGTGACATGGATTTCCTGCCCTTGTCCAATTAAAGAAAGTGGGGAACAGCTCTGAGGTGGAATGCTTGTCTTTTTTAAATTAGATCACAGGTATATCTACAACTATCCATCTGTGTGACAGCTGACAGAGAGTGGGTTAACAGTTTAAGTGTAATTGGAGGCAGATGTGTACTATACATAATGCTAGCTGGGCTTGTCTTTTGCATTTAACTGTATTGGCTCACTTTCATTTCAGTGGTCTTTAGCCTGTTAAGTTTGAAGTTTCCCTACTGCCCATACTCCATAACTTAGCAGTGTGAAGCACTAGCCCTTGACTTGTGTGTATAGCTAAAATTAAGTTTTTCTGAGAGTTAAAATTCAAATGAGTTCATTACTAATTGCTTTTTTCTTCAGCAACAAGAGGGGTGTAGCTAACTTACCATATGGCTAGAGTTCTGGTTTATACAAAAGTGTATTCTACACCACTTGTGCTATGTTAATGAGACACAGTTCACATTATGAAATATTTATCATGAAGAAAAACTAAAGAATCATACACCATTACATTTATGGCAGACTTAAATGAAACCAATAATAGCTCCTTATGACTTTTTATAGGCTCTCAAGTGCTACATGAGAAGGCTCCACTGGTGAAAGCTCTCCTGCTAGCTGGTCCTGCAGGAGTAGGAAAGAAAATGCTAGTTCATGCCCTCTGCACAGAAACAGGAGCCAACCTCTTCAACTTGTCTGCCTCTAACATTGCAGGAAAATACCCAGGCAAGAGTGGCTTGCAAATGCTGCTCAAC